CATGGAAATTAAATACAAGGGCAACACTAGTTGGGAAGGGGAGTGGATTAGAGAAGGCATCTTATAAAAGAAGCTGCTTGAGCTATATCTTGCAACAAATATGAGGGGAGAATGTATTCCAGCCACAGGCTGGCTGGGCAGTACAAAGGCATGGTGATCAGAGATGAAGAGCTGTATACAACGAACAGAGAAAAAGTCAGTCTGGCTGGATTGCAGAATGTAAGAAGGGAAGTGATGTATGATGATCCTGAAAAGGTAGGTTTGGGGGCAGATTGTGATGAGCTTTAAAAGAGATATTTACATTTTATTTCAGAAGCAATAGGGAGCCACTGGAGTTTACTGAGTAGAATCTGGGCTTAAGGGAAACCACTGGAATAGGCAGAGTTGTTGTGAGGAGGCCAATTATGAGGTTATTGGGATAGCATAGGCAAGAGATAAAAATTTGAACTAAGGCAGTGAGAAGTGAAAAGGGGTCAGATTTGAGAGATATTGTAGAGATGGAAAGAGCAAGATTTGGCAATTGATTGGATATGAGAGATGAGGGAGAGTGAGGAGATAAATATGATACTGAAGTTATGAACCTGAGAGACTAGAAGAATGGTGGTACTTTCCACAGAATAGGGAAGTTTGGAAGAACAGTGGGTATTTTGAAAGTGGGGCAGGGGAAAATTTTTTAGTTTTTTGGACATGTTAGGTTTGCGATGTCTCTGTGACATCCAGTTTGAAATGTCTAATAGATAATTGGTGTTGTGAAACTGAAATTCTAGTGAGACTTTGGGGCTGGATGTATAGCTTTGGGAAGTATCTACATGAAATGATAATTGAACTGAAGGGAATTGATGAGGTCATCAAGAGAAGAGGGCCAGGGACAGAACCTTGTGGAACTCCCAAAGTTAGGGAGCATGATGTAGATGACGAGCCGAAAAAGGAAATGAAATGGTTAGGCAGTTGGGAGGAAAAATAGGAGAAAGTAGTATGAAACCCAGGAAGAATGCAATATGCAGCAGAGAGGTCAAGAAGGATAAGGACTAAAAAAAAAAGACCTATCATATTTGTCAATTAAGAGAACTTTGGATCAGTGGAAAGAATAGTTTCACCTGAGTGATGAGATTGGAAGCCCGATTGCAGAGGGTTGAGGAACGAGCAAGAGAATGCCAACTGTGGGCAATAGCACAGAAAACTTATTCACGGAGTGTGGCTGAGAAACAGAGGAGGAGAGATATAAGATGATAGTTTTGGGGTAAGGCACAATCTAATGAAGGATTTTTTTAAGGATGGGAGAAACTTGGGTATATTTGAAATCAGCAAGGAAGGAATCAATAAATAACTAAGTCAATCAGTCAAAAAGCATTTATTAAGTACTTTATATGTGCCAGGCAATGAGCTGAAGTGCTGCCCCACTTTTTTTTTTTTTGGCAATTGGGGTTAAGTGACTTGCCCAGGGTCACACAGCTAGTGCATGTCAAGTGTTTGGTCTGAGGCTACATTTGAACTCAGGTCCTTCTGACTTCAAGGCCAGTGCTCTATCCACTGCACCATCTAGCTTTCCCGCTGCCCCGCTTTCAAAATACCCACTGTTCTTCCAAACTTCCCTATTCTGTGGAAAGTACCACCATTCTTCTAGTCTCTCAGGTCCATAACTTCAGTATCATATTCATCTCCTCACTCTCCCTCATCTCTCATATCCAATCAATTGCCAAATCTTGCTCTTTCCATCTCTACAATATCTCTCAAATCTGACCCCTTTTCTCTTCTCACCGCCTTAGGAGAAGACAGAAGGGGATGTAATGTAAGAGGGACATGTAAGAGGGCCTGGCCTTGGAGAGAAGAAAGGTCACCTCTTTATTAAAGATTGGAGGAATGTAGGAGAGTGGGGGCTGATGTTAAAGGGTTTTGAGAAGAGAAGGAGAAAAATAAGAGGTCATGGTTAATGGACTCAGTCTTCCTCAGTAAATTAAGAGCTGAGGACCTCAGCTGACAGGGTGAAGAGAGAAGAAAGTGTGGGAGACTGGACAAGATAAGACAAAGTTTAGAATACATTTTGTGGTTTGTGAGCTATTGAATGGATTGAGGAAGAATAAAATAGTTGTCTTGCTACAGTGAGATGGTGAGGATAATACAAGGCTAGGGTTTAGCAAGTGATGGGTAATAATAGGACAAGAGTGTAAGGGGTTAAAGAATGAAGACTGCAGAATGGAATTGATTAACTCTAGGATTAAGATTGGGAAGGAAGTGAAGTCAGAACAGAGTAATGGCCTGAGAATGTCCTGAAAGGGACAAGGATTGGAGGTCTCTATGAGGGTGAAAGAATAGGCTCAGGAGATTTCTCATTAAGAAGGCAATGTGAAAAGTCTTAGAAGAGCCCAACTCTCCTGAAAGTACTCCTGCAGAATTCTTAAAGGGCACAAGAAGGAACAATGGAAAAGAAACCAAAGAAAACCTTAATAAGCCTTTATAATCCTGTCTAGAACTATTCAAGAAGCCTGCAGATAGTCTGAATGGACATAGGCTAGGGAAGGAGGCATAAGCTTCTTTGCTAGGGAAGCCCATATCAGAGTCAGAGCAGGGGACCAGTTTAGTTCGGGGCAGCAAAATCCTGGAGGTCCATATTTAACACCCAGTGGTGTTAACACTCAGGGGTGTGGGGGTGGGGAGGGATGAGTGGGGAGGGTTAGGAAACACACAACACACGTTCTGACTCTGCCCAGGTTACTTAACTTCTCTAGGATCCAGTTTCCTCGTGTAAATTGAGAAGGGATCAGTGATGTCAAACTCAAATAGAAACAAGGGCAACTAATCTGTGCATAAGGATTCCTGAACTTTCAGACTTGATGATTAGCATTGGATTTGGATTTAGAGGATCAGGGTTTGAATCTTGCTTTGGTGATTTACCATTTGTGTGACCCTGGTCAAGTCACTGAACTTCTCTGTTCCTTCTAACCACCTTGAGAATGGCTTCTACCAAGGCAGTTAGGCACTGTAGTGGATAGAGCCCTGGGCCTGGAGTTAGGAAGACCTGAGTTCAAGTCTAGTCTCAGACATTTACTAGCTGTATGACCCTGGGCAAGTCACTTAACCTCTGTCTGCCTCAATTTTCTCCACTGTAAAATGGGTTAATAATAGCCCTTACCTCCCAGGGCTGTTGTGGACATCAAATGAAGTAATATTTGTAAAAGTGCTTAGCACAATGCCTGGCACATATTAAGTAAGCACTTAATAAATGCTTATTTCCCTCCTTTCCCCTTCTTTAAAAATTTTTACCCTATGCAGATCACAGTGCTGGCTATCCACTGGCTTCCAGGTCATTCTCCCTTCTTTCTCAAGGAGTTCAGCACCTCTCTTACTGTCTTCTTTCTTTCTCAATTTCTGCCTTTCAAAGGTCATGTTGATGCTCCCTCAACCTTCCCATGTCCTCAGTTTCTGCAAGTCCCATGACATTCTCCTCTCTGCCTGAACTGTGAACAAGGACGGTTACCCTGGATCTCACTATTATCTACAAGTGTTCCACTTCCTTGGTTTAAAAAAAATGAGATATTACTTTAACTGACCATAAACTCGTATCATTTTATCTTTCTCTATGCCTCAGCCCTTCATTACACTCGAGTAGAGAATACAGCTAGAGGGGATAGAAGGAATAGCTACGGTTCAAGACCTGATAGTTTTCTATTTTAACTAATAGTTTTCTTAATTCTGGCTAAGGCTTTGTTATTTCTTTCTTTTTTTCCCACATCAACAAGCATCTTTTTTTTTGCATGAAACTTCAAATCTATTATGTATAACTTGCTATTCTTTTAAATGCATAATAAAGTTTAAATATATTAAAAGATATATCATGTAACTTTTCCCTTTCTTTCTTCCCCCCCACCTAGAGATAACTACCATTAGACACAATTATGTATATATATGTAAAATCATTCTATACATACTTCTATTTTTCAGTTCTTTCTCTGGATACAGATAGCATCTTCCTTCATAGGTCCTTTATAGTTAATTTGGGACTTATAATAGTCAAAATGACTTAGTTACTCAAAGTTTTTGTTTGTTTGTTTGTTTGTTTTTTAGTGAGGCAGTCGGGGTTAAGTGACTTGCCCAAGGTCACACAGCTAGTACTTGTCAAGTGTTTGGTCTGAGGTTGGATTTGAGCTCAGGTCCTCCTGACTTCAGGGCCGGTGCTCTATCCACTGCGCAACCTAGCTGCCCCCAAAGTTGTTTTTAAAATTGTATTGCTGTTACTATATACAACCTTCTCTTGGTTCTGTGCATTTTACTCTTCATTATTTTGTGTAAGTCTTTCCATGTTTATCTATGATCATATACCACAACTTGTTTATCCCCAATTGACAGGCATCCCCTCAATTTCCAGTTCTTTTCCACCACAAAGAGAGCTGCTAACAACTTTTTAAAATGTATAGGCTCATTTCCTTTTTCCCTCATCATCTTTAGAAACAGATCTACTAGTGGTATCTGCTATTTCTGCTAGGCAGAAGGACAGCAAATAGTGATGGGGCCTTATGGAATTGGTACCCTAGATAGGAGGATCATAACTTTTGAGGTAGGAAGGACCTTTGAGGCCATATAATTCAACCCATTTATTTTACAAGTGAACAACCGAGGCTGTTTGTCGCTTTCCCAAAGTCAAACAAGTAAGGAAGTAGCAGAGTCAGGATTTGAACTCAGGGCCTCCCCACCCCATTCCCCACGCCACAAATGATGAAACCTTAAAGAAGTTAAATGTTTTGTCCTGGGTCACACAGGTACTGCGGTATCACATGCTAAGATTTGAACCCAGATCCTCTGACTCCAGGTCTGGCACATTTCCATTGTACCATGGACCTGGTGAAAGTCTTCATGGAGGTACATGTACCCATGATCACATACAAATGTTGAAGGATTGTATAGCCCCTGTTGAACCTGCCATGCCTCTCAATTCCAGGGTAACAGGTACAATGTGATAATGATTTCTGGGGACAGTGATTGTTTTGATGTGTTTTCCTTTGTAGGTGAGAAGACAGTCCTGTGTAGTTTGGGCTGAAGTAAAAGGTAAGGCCATTTGCTGCCTTATTTCCCCCTCCCCAGCCCTCTTGTCTCCCCTACCCCTAATACTCCTACCAATGGGGCAGAATCCCATCTGTAGCAATGAGTTGCAGCTTAATTGCTGCATGTTATTTATTTACACAGACACTTACAGTAAGGGTTGAAAAGGGACACCATCTGATTCATCTGGGAAATTTAATTGCACCCAAAGGATGTATTTGAAAAGGCTGGCCTTCGGGCATGAAATTGGTGGAGGATTATTTTAGGGAGTCTCTTTATTTCACTTGGTACTTTCTATTTGTATGTGAAATAGCATCTATTAGCCTATGAAAGTAATTCTGAACATCCATTATGTCTTTGTGATGTGTGATTTTCTTAGTAGTAGCTTTTCTGCATGTTTAAGACTAGTTCAGACTGGATAGAAAAATTTCCTAGGTTTTGCAAAAATAGTTCTCCTTCCTTCCCCCATTCTTGGTATACACTGCCCCCCAATTCCTGCCCCTGACCTTGGCCTCCGAATCCCTGATTTCCTCCAAAGCACAGCTCCCATGCCATTTCTGGCATAAAACCTTTCCTGATCTGCTCTCCTTCTTCCTTCCTGGTATTCTCTCCTTCATAAAATTACTGTATATTACTTGGAATATGTTTCATATTTATTTATTTGTAAACCTTTTGTACCCTACTGAGAAGCATGTAATTCACTGAGGGCAGAGATTATTTCTTTTTGTTCTGTCTTTGTTTCCCTACCCCTGGCACAGTGCCTTGTACATAGCCACTGAGTAATAAATACCTGTTGAATTGTTGAGTTATTGAAGAAATGGATGATACATTCTGTCATATTTATGTATTTACAGCAAACTGGCTTATTGTGAAAATTCTAGGTGGCTTTCGAATTGTCTTGATTCTGCCCAGCATATATTTAACCATCTAGGGACCAGCTAGGAATATTGGTGGAAGAAAAGGAAATTGGCTAAAAGATTAATATCTTCTGAAGACAATCCCACTGCTTTTTAAATGTAAGACACCAAACTGATTTCTGACATATTCTTGTTCAGTGGAAAGAGATGGGTATGTCAAGTGATTCCCCCGTTTTAAAGAGCTATATAGGATTAGTTGTTGCTATTATTATCATTATTTGTCTACCTCTCTCTCCTTGACCTCTTGTTCGGAAGGCAGCTTGGTATGATAGGAAGAGAATCAGATTTGGAGTCAGAGAACTTGGGTTCTAGTGCTAGCTTTACAACTTACTTGTACAATTCTGTAATCCTATGAACCTCTGAAGTTAATTAGCCTCTCTGGGCCTCAATTTCCTCAGCTGTAAAATGAGGAAGGTGGACTAGATGGATGACCTCTAAAATCCCTTCTAGCCCCAAATCTATGTTGCTGACCAGTGGTTTTTTTGCATAATGTCTTAGTGACTCCCACTTCAGGGCAGCATTTAATCAGAGAAGCTTGGAGAAATACAGGTTCAATATGGATCCCCTTTGCCAAGTTCTGGCAGAATTTTTGTCTTTGCCTAACATTGGAAAGTATGTGCTGGAAAATGATGCAGTGTTGGGTGATGAAGGAAAGAGCCACTGGATAAAGATTTAAAAGATGGGGATTTAGTTCATAGCTCTGTCATTTAACTGTATGTGACTCAACAAGTTCCTTAATTGCTCTGAGATTTAGAAAAGTGAGGATTGGGATGCCTACTAGATGGCACAGTGGATAGAGCACCAGGCCTGGAGTCAGGAAGACCCGAGTTCAAATCTGGCCTCAGACACTTGTTGGCTGTGTGACCCTGGGAAAGTAACTTAATCATGCTTGCCTCAGTTTCCTCATCTGTAAAATGAGTTGGAAAAGGAAATGGCTAATCACTTCAATATCTTTGCCAAGAAAACCCCAGGTGGAGTCAGAAAGAGTCACACGTGACTGAACAACAACAACATAGCGAAATGTTTTATAATATCATCTCATTTGATCCTCTCAACAACCCTGTGAGGTAAGTGCTATTATCTTCCCCATTTGACAATTAAGAAAACTGAGGCAGACAGAGGTTAAGTGATTTGACCAGGGTCACACAACTGGGACGTGTCTGAGGCAGGATTTGAACTTAGGACTTTCTGACTCTAAGTCCATGCTCCATCTGTTACACCAGCTAGCAGACTATGTAGAGATACAGTGCTGATTTTGAGTTTGCAAAATGCTTTATGTAGAATTTTTTTTTATCCTCACAACCACCATGTGAGGAAGGCATTCCAGTTATTGTTGTTGTTCAGTTATTTCAGTTTGTGACCTCATTTGGGGTTTTCTTGGGAAAGATACTGCAGTGGTTCTCCAGATGAGGAAACTGAGGCAAACAGAGCTAAGTGACTTGCCTAGGGTCACATAACTAGTAAGTGTCTGAGGCCACATTTGAACTTAGTTCTTCCTGACTCCAGACCAGGGACTCTATCCACTGTACCACCTAGCTGTCCATTCCAGTTACTAGAATCCTCTATTTTACAAGTGATGAAACTGAGGCTTAGGGAGATTTAATTCCTTGAATACCTTTCTTCTCCCCACCTCCCACTTTTTTTTTCAGGGATCCCTAAACATGAGTCACAACCTAAGCTTAAAAAATTTGGTCTGACTTAGGAGGCAGAGCCAAGACGGCAGAGTAAAGGCAGGGATTCACCTGAGCTCTCCCCCAAACCCCTCCAAATACCTCTTCAAAATGACTCTAAACAAATTCTAGAACAGTAGTACCCACAAAAAGACAGAGTGAAACAAATTTCCAGCCTAAGACAACTTGGAACGTCATCAGGAAAGGTCTGGTGCATTAGAGTGAGAGCAACATAGTCCAAAACAGGCCACAGGGCTCACCAGCACAGACCAGGCCCCAGCAAACCTGAAGCAGGCCTTGGGAGTGACTGAATCAGCAGCAGCAGCAGCTGTTTCCAGACCTCTCAGCCCATACATAGATGCCAAAGACAATTTAGAAGGTCAGCAGGAAAGGTCTGTGGCACCTGGGTGAGAGTGGAGCATAGTAGATCACAGGCTGTGCCAGCACAGCCCCAACCCCAGCAAATCAGATGAAGTAATCAAAGCTATCTATAGCCATGTGAAAAAATAACTCACTATTGATAGGAGAAATGCTAGTTAAAACAATTCTGAGGTACTGCCTCATACCAATTGGATACTGGCTAATAGGACAGAAAAGGTAAATGACAAATGTTGGAGGGGAGGTGGGAAAAATGAGACTTTAATGCACTGTTGGAGTTGTGGACTGATTCAACTATTCTGTAGAGCAATTTGGAACTATGCCCAAAGGGCTATAAAACCATGCAATACCCTTTGACCTAGCAATACCACTACTGGTCTGTATCCCAAAAGAGATAAAAAACATGTACAAAAATGTACATGTACAAAAATATATGTACAAAAATATTTATAGGAATTCTTTTCTGGGGGTCAAAGAATTAGAAGTTTTGGGGAAACCCATCAATTGGAGAATGGCTGAACAAGTTGTGGTATGTGCTTATGATGGAATACTATTGTACAATAAGAAATGATGAACAGGATGCTCTCAGAACCTGGAAAGACTTGCGTGGGCTGATGCAAAGTGAAATGTACTGTGTACAAAGTAACAGCAATACTGTAAGACGACCACTTTCAATGACTTAGCTATTCTCAGCAATACAACAATCCAAGACAACTCTGAAGGACTTAGGATGAAAAATGCTATCCATCCTCAGAGAAAGAACTGATGGTATCTGAATACAGATAGAAGCATACTTTTTTTTTACTTTTTTAATTTTTTTAGGGTTTTTTTTTGTTCATGTTTTCTTTCACAACATGACTATTATGGATATATTTTTACATCACTACACATGTATAACCCATATTGAATTGCTTGCCTTCTTAATGGGGGTGAGAGTGGGGAGGGAGGAAGAGAGAGAATTTGGAACTCAAAGTTTTAAAAATGAATGTCAAAAAATTATTTTTACGTGTAACTGGGGAAAAATAAAATACTAAATAAAAGCTTAAAAGAATTGGTCTGCAAGAGGGGTGGTTAATGACTTTGTTTAATTTCTTTTTGAACTAACCCATTTGTCCTATCATTAGGAACTGATGATAATTGATTAGCAACTAATGATAACTAACTAATCATTAGGAACTAATAACTAAGCATTAGGAACTCACCCATTGTTATAGTGCTCATTGTCTATGGGCCCAGCAGTGTTTCTTTAACGTTAGACATGGGAACTCATCCCAGAGAGTTGGGACACAGCTCTCACTTCCTTGTCTATGAAGAGGATCCTCTGCTCTAGACCTACACATGCTTTTGAGACCAGGTTCAATACCGAGGGAGCCAGGTCTTTTATGAGAGGAGAGCCATATTTCCTTTTCTTCACATTGTTCGGTTCCTTAAACCCATGTACCAATTCCCTCAGGACAAATTATTTAAAGTTTAGGTTGTGGTTCATGTCTAGAATTTACCCAGAAAAGGAGGAGTAGAAAAGTACTCAGTGTATAGTAAGAAGCAGGTTTGGAAGAAGTATTTATTTGTTATAAACAAAAGCAATGCTAATAATAGACAAAAGACTTACAATATCCATTAACAGAACAAGGATTTAGTAATTTAAACTGAACTTAACTTAAACATTAAACAGGATTTAGTAACTTTAATTTATAATTTGCTGTAATTTGCTATAATTTAAGTTATAATTTGATATTTAAATTGCATCAGAACACAAAGCAGTTGATTAGGCATTTGACTTTCACCTCAGCTCTGCACTATCTTCCTCAAAGTCCGCATCTTCTGGCTCACAAGGCTAGGGGCTTGGGCTCTTTCTCATGTCTGTAGTTGTTGTCTCCAAGGCAGAAGCTTCTCTTGCTGACAGACAGTTTTCCTCAGAGAATCCAGGGCTTCCCAACTTCTTGAATAAATATGTATACCTTCAAAATGGACACCTTGAGAATGATGCTTAGAAATGATGCTCAGAAAAGGAACTCTTTGTAGAGGAAAATGCAGCAGGGGA